GAGAGGGGAGAGGAAAGGGAAAGGAAAGAGAGAGAGAGAGAGAAAGAGGAAAGAGAGGGAGAGGAAAGAGGCATAAAATAATTCATTTGCATTTAATTGTAATGGTTCAAAGAATGTTCGGAAAAATGTTCGGCCCTCCAGCACGTTCACTTCATCCAATCTGGCCCTCTTTGAAAAAAGTTTGGACACCCCTGCTGTATGCTAAGAGAGAATGCGACATCAACTTGGTGATACCCAACACAGATTTACAGTGAGGACACTGAGATGTCATTCAGACTACAAAGGTGTGGCCAGATGATAGTAAAGATAGGAAGATAGTTATGATTGAGGCCACATAGCAGACATACAGACCAGCTACAAGTACTTTGGTATTTCACAGTCACACAGGAACTACAATGAGAAGGTAAGGAAGATAGCAAGAGAGAGAGAGACAGAGAGAGAGACAGAGTGAGAGACAGAGAGAAATACAGAGAGACGAGACAGAGACAGAGAGACACAAAGAAAGAGAGAGACAGAGAAAGAGACACAGAGAGAGAGAGAGACAGAAACAGAGAGAGACTAGAGAGAGAGATGAGAGAGACAAAGAGAGAGAGAGAGAAACAGACAAAGAGAGAGACAAAGAGAGATAGACAGAGAGTGAGAGAGACGAGAGAGAGACAGAGAAAGAGACAGAAAGAGGGAGAGAGAGAGAAAAAAACAGAGAAACAGAGAAAGAGACAGAGAGACAGAGAGAGAAAGAGAGAGAGAGACAGAGAGAGAGAGAAACAGACAGACAGAAAGACAGACAGACAGAGAGACAGAGACGAGAGAGAGACAGAGAGACAGAGACGAGAGAGAGACAGAGACAGAGAGAGACAGACAGAGACAGAGAGACACGAGAGAGAGAGAGAGACAGAAGGACAGACAGAGAGAGAGAGAGAGAGAGATAGAGACAGAGAGAAAGAGAGAGACAGAGAGACAGAGACAGAGAGAGACGAGAGAGAGATGAGAGACAGAGAGAAACAGAGAAAGAGAGAGAGACATAGACAGAGAGAGAAAGAGACGAGAGAGACAGAGAGAGAGACAGAGACAGAGAGAGATGAGAGAGAGAGAGACACACCGAGAGAGAGAGAGAGAGACAGAGAGAGAGACAGAGAGACAAAGAGAGAGGGAGTCAGAGAGAGAGAGAGAGAGAGAGAGAGAGACAGACAGACAGACAGACAGACAGACAGACAGACAGACAGAGACGAGAGGCAGAAATGAGAGAGAGACGAAGAGACACACGAGAGAGAGAGAGAAGGACACAGAGAGACAGAGAGACAGAAAAAGAGAGAAAGAGGAGAGAGAGACAGAGAGAGAGACAGAAAGAGAGAGACAGAATGACAGAGAGAGAGACAGAGAGACGAAAGAGAGAAAGAGAGACAGAGAGAGATACGGAGACAGAGAGAAAGAGAGAGAGAAACAGAGGGACAGACAGAGAAAGAGAAGAGAGACAGAAAGAGACAGAGAGACGAGAGAAAGACAGAGAGGGACAGAGAGACAGAGAGAGAAAGAGAGACAGAGAGAGAGACGAGAGACACAAAGTTAGAGAGACAGAGACAGACAGAGAGACAGAGACAGAGAAAGAGACAGAGAGAGAGAAAGAGACAGAGACACAGAGACAGAGACAGAGAGAGACAGAGAGACAGAGGGGCGAGAGAGAATAGACAGAAAGAGAGAGAGAGACAGAGACAGAGAGAGAGATGAGAGACAGAGAGAGACAGAGACAGAGACAGAGAGACAGACAAGAGAGAGAGACAGAGTGAGAGATGAGGGGGAGAGAGAGACGAGAGACAGAAACAGAGAGAGAGAAAGAGAGAGAGACATAGACAGAGAGACAGAGAGAGAGAGAAAGAGACAGACAGAGAGAGAGAAGACAGAGAGAGACAAGAGACAGAGAGAGACAAGAGAGACAGAGATAGAGAGACAGAGACAGAGATACAGAGAGACAGAGACGAGAGAGACAGAGACAGAGACAGAGAGACGAGACAGAGAGACAGAGACAGAGAGACAGAGAGAGAGCGCAAAAACTGGATTTTTATGTATATAGTATAATATAATACACTTTTAAATATAAGAAATCTTGGTCTAAAGTATAATGTAGTATCTTGCAAACCTAATTTGCCTTCATAGAAACATTAGTCAGCATTACTACATCTTATTTTAAATCAAGATTAATGTTATTTGGAAGAAGAGAAAACTCAACATCATAGAGACAAAGCATGTTGTACCAAATACTGCTCCAAGTTACTCTGCCAAAAATCTTATCAATGCTACCCAAAATGTTTTTTTTTAAGAAATAATGAAATAGGCACACACTACAAGAAACTGAGAGCCAGTGTGGGGTATTGGTTAAGGCATCAGGCTAGAAACTGGGGGATAAGGATTTTATTCCCACCTTAAGCACAAACACAGCTGGACCAGTGCCTGTCTTTCAACCCTGAGAAGGTTGTGATGGCAAACCACTTCCAAAAAGCCTTGTCAAGAAAACTGCAGGAACCAATCTAGGCAATTGCCAGGAGTCAATAATGACACAAAGACAATAGCAATAGCACTTAGACTTATATACCACTTTACAGTGCTTTACAGCCCTCTCTAAGTGGTTTACAGAGTCAGCATATTGCCCCCAACAATCTCATTTTACCGACCTCGGAAGGATGAAAGGCTGAGTTAACCTTGAGCCGGTCAGGATTGAACTCCTGGCAGTGGGCAGAGTTAGCCTGCTAATTTTGTAAGCTTGTAAGCTCTATAAGCTATTATAAGTTTAAGGACTTACAATAGTTCGCTTAGTGACCATTCAATGTTACAAGCGCACTAAAAAAAGGACTTATGACCGTTCTTCACTTACAATCATCGCAGCATCCCTGTGATCACATGATCAAAATTTAGATGCTTGGCAACTGACGCATATTTATGACAGCTGCTGTGTCCTGGGGTCACGTGATCCCCTTTGTCGACAAGCAAGGTCAATGGGGAAGCCAGAGTCACTTAACAACCAGGTCACTGATTAATAACAATGATTCACTTAACAACTGTGGCAAGAAAGGTCGTAAAATGGGGCAAAACTCACGTAACAAATGTTTCACTTAGCAACAGAAATTTTGGGATCAATTGTAGTCATAAGTCAAGGACTACCTACAGTATATTGCATTCTAACCATTGGCTATCACGGCTCTTTACACAATTACATACACACTGTCTCTCACACACACAGAATCACACACACCTCACAAAAAAACCCCTGCAAATGCATAGCTACTTTCTCCCCACAAAAACAGAACGAAGAAAAAAAAGACTCCCTCACCATTCATGCTAAAAATACATCCCCCAAGAAACAATATCAAAAGGCAAACTTCCACAAACATAATCAATAGTCCTTTAAAGCTGCTGATCAGGAATGTAAAGAAATCCTCCTAATATTGCTGAACCACCAGCATCTCTCAATATTAACATGGTAAGTTCCGCAACATCTGGAGGGCTACTGACTTTCCACTGCTACACTATGACATGTAGGAAAGCACTATGATGTTTTTCTTCAGCTTGCTCTAACTGGAAGAAGCCAAAGTCCCTACTTCAGATGATATGCTAGCTCAGGGTAGGCAACCTTGGCTCTTATGACCGGTGGACTTCAACTCCCAGAATTCCTGAGCCAGCATGGCTCAGCTTGGAAACCTCTCTTTCCCCTCAGCATGGCTGGCTCAGGAATTCTGGGAGTTGAAGTCCACGAGTCATAAAAGAGCCAAGGTTGCCTACCCCTGTGTTAGACAATCCATGGACAGAACTGATTATAGTTCATTAGTCTCATCCACTTCTAAGAATAGCCAGGGAGCATGATTTTAAACAAGATGACCCTCTGAATACGGATTTTCTACATCAGACACAAAATGCATTGAAAAACATTCGCTCCTAGGATTTTCTCAGATTAAAGAGAATCCTAAAAAATAAGGTAAGAGCCTTCGGGGTAGCAATTTGATCCCTATAAACTAAGAATGAATCTCCACTAATAGTTAATGTCAGTGTTAATTATACCTTGTTGTATACAGGCCTGGGCAACAGCAAAGAGTTCAGGTGACTTTTCTTCTAGCAGCTGCTGGTGGAGATTAATACATCGTAGTGTCCACCAGGGCAATGTCTAAAAGTGAGAAAAAATATATTTCCAAACATCAGATTCACTTATTTCTATTTGGTTTTAATTCATGCACGTGGCGGTTAAACAGTGGTTAACAATAAGATCTGAAAAAAAGATCATGGCACCTGTAGTATAGATTGAATATGGGTTGTTGTTTTTTTTAGTATTTGCCATTTGAATTGCCCTTACCTTTTGTTTTAATTTGTATCTTTGTATTTTTACATTAACTCCCTTGAGCAATTCCTGAACAAAAAGGTGGAATATAAATCCAATCAATAAATAATGACGCACAACTCAAGGGCAGAGCATTTGCTTTTTTGTCTGAAAATGCCAAGTTTAGTCACAGCCCAGGGAGAACTCAGAAAAGCTCACAAGGGGTTCACCAGGATCTGAGAGATGATAAAGTGAGCTGGAAAGGCAAATGGATTAACCAAATTCAAAGGACCTTCCGACATTTAAAACATTATTTGGCATTTATGTACTTGCATTAGTTTCCTATGACTGCGACAGAATGAAATATCATCTCAAAGAAGCGTATCCTGAAAAACATGGGTATTCCCTCACTCTTTAATAGCTCCTCATCTGGAAAGAAGAACAATTATTCAATCTTGTTTTTCTTTACCTGAATAGCTTCTAGCTTATTTCTGGAATTCACAAGGATGACTCTAGCCAGCATCAACAAGATAGGGTGGGTAGTCAAGCTGTATATTGATTCACCATCTAGAACCAGTATCCCTAAGATAGAAGTTGACAATGCACTGGTCTGGAAACAGTAAAAAAAAAAGAAAGAAAGTCATATTAGGCAGCTTCACATTATTTTAGAAGACACACCATACTTTAGTGGCTGTGGGTACGGGTAGCCTTCAACTTAGGATGGCAATTGAAACTGAAATTATAGTTGTAAGTCATGGTATCACACAACCAGATCTGATTTTTTTTTACATTTTTTGTAGCTGGTGTTAATTTTTCCCAATGGGCCTTGTTTGCCAGAAATCAGAAGTAAGCACTGGAAATCAGCAAAACAGAATGCAAATCGCAGTCGCGTGACCACAAGACACTGCAAACATCCATAAAGGGGATCCAGTTGTCAAGCACCCAAAATGTAATCATGCTACTGTGGGGCGGGAGGTATGTGCAGCTGTTGTAACTTCAAAAATGGGTTGTAAGTCGCTTTTCGGGGTAACTATCGTAACTTTGAACAGTTGCTAAGTGACCCAGCATGTTGAGGACTCCATGTAGTGCACTGAATTCAGTTTCAAAGAGATCCTTTGGAACAGGTGGGAGCACAATGCAGCATTTGTCTGCAACTCACCAGTGATATGTGAGTGCTTCATATTAGTACATTATTATGATGATTACTATTACTATGATAATTACTATTCAATTACTATTATTGTATTACAATGGCCTATATACTGTGCTCCATACTATTACTAGTATGCACCAATGTTTCTTTCTTGACCTTGTTCTGTCTTAAGTCCCCTCTGAGATGTCTTCTTTTTCTGTTAATGGCCAGCATATAGATCTCTTGCCCCCTTTTTTTATGTTGTGCTTTTGTCTTACTGGGCCTCTGCACTTCTTTTCCTGCCGGGCAACTCTACAACGAACCTAGCTGAAGCCATCTTGCTCATTCTAGGCTGCCACAAGAACGGGAGGGAGAAGTGGAGGTTTTCTGCTGGTCTAAACAATTCTCTGTCCTGTGGGAGCCAAGGTCATTTCTACCGGTCGAAGGGGGGGGGGTTGAGCATTCTGTCAGAAAGCCAACCTCGGAGTTCTGATTTGTTTGGTCTCATCTATTGGAACCATGACACTGTCTTTTGGACCAATCACTCCTTCTGAAGGAAAAACATCTTTATTTGTTTTGCTGCTGTATTCAGTTGGCTAGTGGCTGTGGGGTGCAAAGGATGTGTCTCCTCCCACACCTGTCCCAAGGTTGCAGTTTTATTGCCATCTCTGCCACTGGGGGAAAGGCTCAAATAGGAGGGGAGCCACATTCTCTGAAAGGCTCAGCACGGCTGCTTCACAGTCTTTATTAGAGTCTGCACATCTACATACATGATAAATAATAATACTTTCACCAAAATAGTCTATGTTTGAACAGGATTAAAGAAACAACTTGGGAGAGACCTCAGAACAGCTGGGCCACACTTTCCAGAGAGGATTGTTAAAATGCATTGAAAATGCGCACTTTGTAAAGCATCCCTGCAAATGCTTTGCATAGCCTACTCTGAGTAACCTAACTCTGGCTATATCCAAAGTCACTTAACTTCCCCTTGCACAACAACAATCTCCTCTGCTCCTCCTAGGACAGATTTCACAGAAAAGGAGAATCCAATTCACCAGCAATGACTGTTCACCTAATTTAAATTTTGGGCAGTGGGGTGACGTACAGGCATAGCTTTAATTAAGAGCAAGAAACAATGTCAAATAATAACAATGAAGGATTGTTCAGCTAAAAAGACTAAACCTTTGACTGCATATTCTGAAACAATTCAAAGCTAAGTACCGGTAGAACCAGAGAATTCACCCAGAAGAAGCCCCTGTCCCACCAGCAGAACATCAATAGATGCAATCCAAATTATCTGGTCAACTAATACAAACGAGAAGACTGTCCTACATTCCACTAACAATTAATAGTGCACATAGGAATTATAATAAATGAATTGTGATGTTGTTTAACAAAGTAAACCTTCAAATACAACCATAGGACAATGTACTGTAAAGACCAAAGATCAATCTATACAGTGTACAATTATAATTTATGTTTATGATTTTTTTCTTTTTTAGCAACATATATATATTTGTTTAAAATCTGAAATGAGAAAGGTATATAAAACATTAGCTGTAGAATACCTACTATACTATACTATACTATACTATACTATACTATACTATACTATACTATACTATACTATACACTATACTATACTATACTATACTATACTATACTATACTATACTATACTATACTATACTATACTATACTATACTATACTAACGCCAAAGTCTTTCAGAATAACAGAAAGGGTTCACAAGTTTTATACTGTGACAAATCCAGCTGATTTCAGATTTGCCATTTCTCTAGTACTAAAAGGAATATTTTTCAGTCGCCCAACTATTGAAGGTGGAGAAAAGTACCTCATTATACTGTTGCAATATTTCAGGTGGAAGAAAATCCTGAGGCTCTAAGTCAGTAGGAGGTCCAGTCCAGTTGCTCTGTGCAAACAGCTGTAAGCTCCCTACACCAAGGAGGAACACCACACTTTGTCTGCAATACACATAAAAATGTGTTTATATATAAATGAATACAGAACAGGAATCTATCATTCTTTAATAATCAACCTCTAGCTTACATAGAACATTTTAAATGTTGACAAAATAAAAAAAATGGTGAATGACTAAGAGCAGAAAGTCTGTCTGAGTCCTCAATTTAAACCATTCATTTAGCGACCATTTGAAGTTACAATGGCACTGGAAAAGTGACTTACAACTGGTACTTGCATTTATAGCTGTTACAACATCCTATAACAGTGGTGGCGAACCTATGGCACGGGTGCCAGAGGCGGCACTCAGAGCCTTCTCTGTGGGCACACGCGCCATCGCCCCAGTCCTAGGCCTTCAGCTGGGTTTTATAAAACTTTTTCGCTTTAGGCCTCCACCACCGTGTGCAAAAAAAAAAAAAGGTTCAATCAGTCAATTTCAACTTCTTGCGGGGAAAAAAAAAAGATCTTGAAAAGTTGAAATTGATTGATTGAACTTTTTAGTCTCACCCAGTCTGCCGTTACCACCGCAGCCACGCCTACTCAATGGGCCACACCCACCCGGCACTCGACAATGCATAAGTTGGTTTTGGGTTGCAGTTTGGGCACTCAGTCTCTAAAAGGTTCGCCATCACTGTCCTATAATCACATGATCAATATTTGGGTGCTTAGCAACTGGCATGTATTTGTTAAGGTTGCAGTGTCC